TTAATATTACATTTTACCGAGGCGTTATATTTATTTATTTTTTTACTAGCCGTTACAAAATTATATTCACTCATCAAATTCATATTTTTCATATTTTCATTCAATACAAGGATATTTAATTACTTTTTTGAGTATTTTATTGCTCCACGTGTCTGTAAAGACATATTTGGCGACCGTGACAGGACTGTACGAAAATACAGTCTGAAATTAAAGGACTGACTCGCTTATTGTGCATATTACGTCGCGCAATTGATACAAAGTTCAACGCGAAGATAATACAAAAGAAGCACAGAAACCAGCTGCAGCCTTTGGAGAAGAAAGAATAGTTGTACAACTAATAAGCCGATCAGCGTAGCATCTAAAGCATCGCATCGCATCATTTGAAGCCAAAATCATATATATATATATATATATATATATATATATATATAATAAGTAGATCTTCCACTTGTGCATATGTGCATAACCAAAAATTTAATGTCTATTTTGCAAAATATTACGAAATTCATAGTGTAATATAATATATATCTTTTGTTGTTATATATATATAACGATATATATATTTAACATATTTTACAGTAGGTAAGTAAAGATTGCGTCATCATATTAAACACTTAATTATGCATATTTTGTCCTAATTACCTACAACTAGTAATAAATATAATTTTTATAGATAACTATCAACCAATAAGTGATAAATAGACTATTATTAAGTTCCTTTATCATTAATTTTGTTTGTTTAATATACCTAAGGTATAAATTATATTACATAAGGGATATCTAGATTAGTTTAGAAATTAGTTTTTCATTTATTTATTATTGTTTGCCCTAATCGTTATTATTCTCGTCCGTTTGTAACTACGTTGTTAATTTCACGTACGTCGCCGAACATTCCAGGGTCGCTGCGCTGCGCATTCGCAGCTTACTGTCAGCGCTCCAGCGCAGCGCTTACCTGCTGTTGGCGTACAGCAACGGTCTACTGCAGAGAACGCCGTAACGAGGAGCGTGAGCTATAATTGTTTATTATCTTTTGCTGACCATTTCTCACTTTGTTTACTCACCCCGCGGTGTATTAATGTAATATTGTAGTAAAACAGCAACATATTTACAACAATATAGGTTATTTTATTTACTACTAGTACTAATTAATATTACTTTATATATATTTTTACCTACTTTATATTATAAGTATTTTTATTTCTTTACTTTAAAGTTATATTTTTTTTTATCATCTCAATCTTCAGAATTTAATAAAAGGTAAACTAACTGTTATTGATAAACTATTATTACAATGTTGTCAGACAAAGGAAGTTCAAAGATTAGCTTGAAATAACTCACTATAAAAAGAAGTTCTGTAAAGGGTCAAATAACTAAATTCAAAAATTACTTAGACAAGGTGGCTACACAGTCGAAGCTTTCAAATATTGAAATGGCGGAATTATCTCTTAAACTAAGCAAATTTGAGGGACTGTCAGCAAAATTTGATGAGTTGCAAAGTGAGATCGAGGTCATTAATTCTGAAAATATTGGTTCGGAGATCGATGAAAGAGATAACATTGAGCAGGATCTAATACTTAGCATCGCTACAGCGAAAACTCTTATTGAACAACATAATATAATTCAAAATGAGCACAGACGTGAATCTATTCTTCATGAGTCTCAATGTGATCTTGATCATCAACAACTGAGCTTTAAATTACCCCAAATTCAAATTGGAAAGTTTGGAGGGTCCTATTTTCATTGGCTTGAGTTTAGGGACACGTTTTCTAATCTTATTCATAACAATGAGCGTATTCCTCCAATACATAAATTTCATTATTTGCTGTCTTACCTGGAGGGAGATGCGGCGCGCATCATTTGTAACCTTGAAGTGTCTTCAGATAATTACACTGAAGCGTGGAAATTACTTTTTGAGCGTTACGATAATAAACGGTTGCTTATTGATCACCACCTTAATTCTTTGTTTAATATACAACAAATAACACGTGAGTCTGAAAGGTCCTTGCGATTTTTGGTAGATCATGTTAAAAAGAACCTGCGTGCTCTATCTAGCCTAGGCCAGCATACAGATAAATGGGACGTGCTAATAATTTACATGTTATCTTCTAAATTAGATAGCCGCACTTTAACAAAATGGGAAGAAATGCGTAATACTTTTAGTGATGTTCCTACTTTAGAACAATTTCAGAAATTTTTAATAGATCGTGCTGACGTTTTAGAAGCACTAAACCGAAATAAGAATGAAAATAATCCTGATAGAAATGTTAAGGTTAATCGTTTTCCACCTCATTTCAATAATAATAAACCAGAAAAAATACAGTATACCAAATCATTTTCTAGTGCAAATCAAGAAAGGCCAAAAACTTACGTCTGTATTATTTGCAATGAAAGTCATAGAATTTATGACTGTCCTACATTTAAAGCTAAAAATGTCCAAGAACGATTATCTGATGTAACAAAATATAAATTATGTGGTAATTGCTTACGTCAGGGTCATCCTATATCCGAATGTCGTATGGGACCCTGCCGCGAATGTAAGAAAAAACACAATACATTGCTGCATAAACCTGTAACTGCAGTTGTAGCTAATACAGCAGTTAATAATGCTGAAACAGTTTCAAACTACAATGTTCAAAAAACAACCCAGATACTTTTGTCCACAGCAATGATTGAAGTATCCAACCCTATCACTAATGAAGTAGAAAGGGTACGTGCCCTACTTGATAGTGGTAGCCAAAGTTCATTTATAACTAAATCTTTAAAACAAAAATTAAACTTAAAATCTAACTCTATAAATACTATAAATATCATAGGAATTGGCAATAATTCAATGTCTAAAATTGAAGAAAATTGCATTATAAAATTGACTTCTATAGACAAATTATTTAATGTTACTCTTTCTTGCTTAGTAATGGAACAATTAACAGGTGAGCTTCCAAAATCTCCTATTAATATACATAACCTAAATATACCCAAAAATTTACAGTTGGCGGATCCAACTTTTGCGCAACCAGGCCCTATTGATGTTTTAGTTGGAGCTGATATCTTCTGGAATATTTTAGGCCGTAATCAACGTTCATTAGGCTCTAATAACCCTAAGCTTCAACAAAGTAAATTCGGTTGGTTGATTGCTGGTCCTATACAGACAGCCACTTATAACTATAATATTAATTGTAATCTTGCTAAATGTATAAATTCATCTTATGATTTAGAAATCAACAAAGCTCTCACAAAATTTTGGGAAGTTGAGGATATACCACAAAGAACACTTATGTCAAAAATTGAAGAACAATGTGAAAAACATTTTGAAGCACATACTCGTCGTTTAGAATCAGGTAGATTTTGTGTACGACTACCTTTGATAGATACTCCCGATTGCTTAGGGGATTCTTATAATCTAGCTAAAAAACGATTTCTTTGTTTAGAGAAACGTTTTAGAAAAAATCTTGAATTAAAAACAGAATATTCCAAATTTATTAAAGAATATGAGGATCTTAATCATCTGTCTGATTCTGCTGTTGTTAAACCAAATCCGTCGTATTTTTTAAGCCATCATCCTGTCTATAAACAGCAGAGTGAATCCACTAAGCTTCGGGTCGTTTTCGACGGCTCAGCTCCCACCTCTTCTGGATACTCCGTCAATGATCTTCACATGGTAGGCCCGAATGTTCAAGATTCACTTTTCTCCATATTGATTAGAGGAAGACACCATAAATACATATTGACCGGTGACATCGAAAAGATGTATCGCCAGGTACGTGTCGATTTAGAAGACTGTAACTTACAGTTAATCTTATGGAGAGAAGATGAGTCGCTGCCTATAAGAACTCTACGATTAAATACTGTCACTTACGGAACAGCAAGTGGCAGCTATTTGAGTACGAGGTGTCTTTGGCAAGTGGGTGAAGAGTGTGGGGACGATTTAATTAAAACTATAATACAAAATGACTTTTATGTAGATGACCTTTTTACTGGTTGTAATGACGAAAATCAATTGCTTTACATAAAAAATCATATTACTAAAACATTAAATGAGTCTTGTTTCAAATTAAGAAAATTTAAAACTAATTCACCTATTATTTTAAACAGTTTAGAACCAAATGCTCAAGAAGTTTTAACTATAAGTGAGTCCTCCAATACTTTAGGATTGGGATGGAATCCAATCACCGATAATTTGAATTTCCCTGTAGTTATCAATACCGTGTCTCAAAATATAATGATTACAAAGCGTTCAATAATGTCAAATTCATTCAAAATTTTTGATCCGTTGGGTTTATTGAGTCCGTGCATAATTCAACCTAAAATGCTTTTACAAAGACTTTGGCTTATAAAGATTGATTGGGATGAACCTGTTCCCCAAGAAATTAAAAATACTTGGGATGAAATCTGTAGGGGTATTAATAGTTTACCTACATTACAGATTCCTAGGTATGTACTATGTGACTTACCAAATATTGTTGAAATGCATTCTTTTAGTGACGCGTCACAATGTGCCTATGGTGCTTGCATTTATATAAGATCTATAGATAGTAACAATCGAATCACAGTTAAGTTGTTGTGTGCCAAATCAAAGGTGGCTCCTCTGAAGCCAGTTACGATTCCACGTTTGGAACTTTGTGCAGCTTTGCTTGCTGCTAGGTTATGTAACAGTGTGATAGAATCAATAAGGCATAAACTAACGCGTCTAGTGCATTGGTGTGATTCCAGTGTTGTCCTTTGTTGGCTGAATAATAATCCTAGGCAGCTAAAAACATTTGTCGCTAATCGAGTAGGAGAAATACTGGATTTGACAAATCCTTCTTGTTGGCGATACGTACCCACCTCGGACAATCCAGCTGATCTGATTTCCAGGGGCGTAAGTGCTAGCCAGCTTAATGATTTAAAACTGTGGTGGTCCGGTCCTAGTTATTTATCATACTGGTCCTAGTTATATAACATACTGTGGACTCATCCCACCTGGCCTACACTAAAACCTAATATTCCACATGAAATTCCAGAGATAAAGGTTAATTCTGTAATTACTTCTGAGACTATAGTAAATTTTGAAAGATTCTCTAAATATTCTAGATTACAAAGATCATTTGCTTATGTTATGAAATTTATTTTTAATTTAAGAAATCCAAAAAATAAAAGATCAAATGTACTTACTTTTGATGAATTAAATGATGCCTTTTACAAATTATGTTCTATTGCACAACAACAATCATTTCCATTGGAATATGCATTATTGTCTAAAAACAAAACAATACATACAAAATCTAAAATTTTATCGCTTTCTCCTTTTATGGACAATAATGGCCAGATTAGAGTAGGTGGTAGAATAGATGCTGCTAGTTGTCCGTATGAGCAACGGCATCCTATAGTTTTAGATGCTTCTCATCGATTTACGAAGCTTTTATTTGAATTTGAGCACATCAAAAATATGCATGCTGGTCCACAATTATTATTATCGGCTATTAGACAAACAGTTTGGCCTATAAACGGGAGACGTCTTGCTCGTACTACCTATCATAAGTGTGTTATCTGTAGGAGAGCACAGGGAAAAACCCTATGTCCAAAGATGGGTGATCTTCCTTCACAAAGACTAAATCCTGATTTTCCGTTTCAGTCTGTAGGCTTAGATTACGCAGGACCATTTAACATACTAAATCGTAAAGGACGTGGCTCTAAATTAATTAAGTGTTATTTATGCCTATTCGTTTGCTTACGCTATAAGTGTATTCACTTAGAGGCAGTAAGTGGATTATCCAAAGATGACTTCTTGATGACTCTGAGAAGGTTTATAGCACGCCGCGGCAAGCCAGTGGAAATTTTATCCGATAACGGACGCAATTTTGTTGCTACGGCTAGCGAGTTAAGTATATTTTTAAAGACTAATGAAGTACCTCTATCTAATTTTGCATCTGGAGAGGGGATAAAATTTTCCTTTATCCCAGCTTACGCTCCTCATTTCGGGGGAATCTGGGAGGCCGGGGTAAAGTCCTCTAAGCATCATATTAAGCGCGTTATGGGCAATAGTCATCTTACCTTTGAAGAAATTTCAACATTGTTTGCTCAAGTGGAAGCGATTCTTAACAGTCGCCCATTGTGCCCGTTATCCTCATCTCCTGACGACTACCATTTCCTATCCCCAGGGCATTTTCTGATTGGAAGACCCCTCTCAGCGCTACCATCACCCATGTTGGAAGATATGAATCCAAATGGACTCAAGCGATACGAACGACTAGAGCAGATTCGACAGCATTTTTGGCAGCGGTGGCAAAAGGAATATGTTGTGGAGCTGCAGCAAAGAACTAAATGGAGAATAAATTCATCTAATCTGAAAGTTGGTGATCTTGTCCTGATTCAAGAACCGTCAATTCCTCCATTGGCATGGCGTCTTGGGCGTGTGGTACGCTTATTCCCGGGACCCGATGGCGTGTGTCGTGTAGCTGACATTAATACTACGCGAGGCTGCGTACGACGAGCCTTAACTCGACTGTGTCCACTACCAACTGATGAAGAGATGAACAGTTAAAAGACTTGGGAGTCTTTCAACGGGGCGGAAGATGTTAAAGCCTGATAAATTTCTATAGCAAAACCGGCTAACTATCATTAATATTACATTTTACCGAGGCGTTATATTTATTTATTTTTTACTACCTGTTACAAAATTATATTCACTCATCAAATTCACTTAGTCACGAAACTTGCATACTGTAAAAGCTTATCGAAATACAAGGATATTTAATTACTTTTTGAGTATTTTTATTGCTCCACGTGTCTGTAAGGACAGTGCTTTACAACAATGTTACAATATATAAAACAAACAAACGAAAATAACGACTATTAAATCATGAAGGCATTATATATTTACTAGCTCTGCTCGCGGTGTCACCCGCGTGAAATGTATAGCCTACATATTATTCTATAATAATAATAATAATAAAACTCTTTATTGTGTACACATAAAATAATAAGAAAATACAGTAAATAGTAAAATAATAACAAAAGGCGGTCTTATCGCTAAATGCAATCTCTTACTGACAACCTAGAAGAGAGGACTTATGTACATAGAATAGGGTAGGTGGCACACATAAGACACTATTTCTTATACTACTAGATATATATACTTACATTAGGGATAAATATATAAACCTACATATATACTACATATTGGAAGAATGAGAAAAAAAAATGTACTATAAAGAGTAAAGTTTCATTAAAATCCGTTCAATAGTTTTTGCGTGAAAGAGTAACAAACATCCATTCATACTCACAAACTTTTGCGTTTATAATATTAATAAGATATATAGAAAAAAATCCTTAAATATGTTCTATCATTTCTCTTCAGAAAAAAAAATACCAGTCTAACATTATAAACTCATTCGTAAGTCACGGCAGCGGCACGGCTCGTTACTTCAGCACCAAATCGATATTTATGAAGCTTTCTTATGTGGATTTATATATGTATATGTTATGACGGCCTCGGTAGTCTAGCGGTTTAGCTCGTTGCTTTACATGCGATGGTCATGAGTTCGATTCTTCGCATGATGCAATGGTCAAGTTGTTTGCTGTAGTTTTTTTGTAAAAACATACATAATGTATGTATTTACAAAAAAATACAAGTATTCTGTCAGTTGTCTAGTACCCATCGGTTTAGCATATCTCTTTACTTTCAATGGTCATAAGTTTGATTCCTCCCATGAAGATTGCTTCATCAAAATCGTAGTAAACACTTTGACCAATGCATTGGTGAAGGTGTTTACTATGATTTTGTTTTATAAAAACATATATATATAACGTATATATTTATAAAAAAAGTGTATACAATAATTAGTAAAAATCACGGGATCTTACCACGTTTTATATTTATTTGCCGAGTTCATTTACATGGTGGATGAAACACTACCGAAATATCGGGAACTCAGCAAATAAATATAAAACGTGGTAAGATCCCGTGATTTTTACTAATTATATACGTATAAATAATGACCGCGTCAAGTTTAAAACAGTATATAAGTGTATACAAGTATTCTATCAGTAGTCTGGTATGTACCTTACAAGCATTATGGGTACTAACCATGGGTATGGTCAGTACCCATAACGCTAGCTCTTCTAAGCTAGGAACTAGATGTCGTTGTGTAAATCATCCAGGGTTATCATGCTGCAATTATTGCAGTTCTGCTAAGCTTAAAACTAGATAGATAGCGTGGTGTAGCTTGTTCAGAATCATGTGTATATGTATATACATACATACATCGTATATATAAGTATATATATTGGAAAGACTTACCACTTGACCAAGACTATATCATATCAAGACTATATCAAGACCGCCAAAAGTAGATTTTCTTTCAACCGTAAATTGCGAGAATATTATCTCAACTTGTAACTTTATGTAAGTACATACATTATCCTTTATATATATTTTTTTCTTTATCCATAAGTCTCTTCATTTTACATCTATATTAAACATATATTTTTTGTATCTATTGTCCGCTATACTCACTACTGAATTGTCATATAATTAGTTATGTATATATTGTGATAATATATGTGTGTCTATATATAAAGCCCTAATATCGGGCTACTCGAACAAATACTCCAATAGACTACTGCTATTGAATAAAAACAACATATGCATGATGACTAGGGCCCTCACAGGACACAGCAAATTAAACAAGCATATGGCTAAACTAGGCCTATGCACGACAAAAATCTGCAGATTTTGCCAAACTGAAAAGAAAACACCACATTCTATGTGGTTGTAGCCCACTCATGCATAAACGTTATATCTCCTTTGGAAAATTTAAACTCTATCCCGAGGAGATAAAAACCATCGCTCATAAGAATATCCTTCAATTCTTGTCCCTGACGGGTCTAGGTAGCGAACTTTGAAAAAGGGCGAGCACAATAGATCTATGTAGGTCGCAGTGCTACAGGTGCTACAAACATCTGGCAATAGCCCAAACAACTCAATAAAAAAAAAAGTATTTATATAGATTAGACTTTTCATACAATAAAAACATTGATCTTATTAATCAACATTTCCTCTAGTGAAATAGAAATAATCTTCAATCGAATAAACTTACTATAAGCACTTTGAAACAGACAATTTTTTTTATTCTACCGCTCATTCAGAATGCAGACTTATCACAAGAAGAATGAGCACGAAACTTGTGTGCTGATATTTTAAATAAATATTGTTTTAATTTTATTTACATTAACAAGGATTAGGCGTGTGATTATCAACATAGAAACAGCTACGCACTTAATCTCTGTTCAATCAGATAACATTGTCAGCCCTATTAATTTTAAGTTAGATGTTTTCTACAAAAACATTATTATCATTTATACATTATTCAATTTTATAACAGGCTTTTTTTACAAAAAAAATATTTTATAAGACATTAGAATTTTTTTTTCACAAATTGAGTACAGACTCTGGCAGTTTGTTGTAAAACCTTACGCAATTTCTATAAAACAATTAAATAAAAAAATAACGAATTACTAACTTTCTTTAAACGACACTTAGGTAAAACGACTAACAAATCCAGTTTACCTAAAACGCGACAGAATACAAAAGCGATGAAACAATTCCCACAACTCCACCTAAATTACTCAGGTAAATGAAATCAGAAGGAGCGCCAGTCAACCGATTACCGCGTGCTGTTCTGTTTCATATAACAACCATCTCCCTGGACACCGTAACGGTCTTTTACGGTAACATTACAATCGGTAAAACAACCATGTCCCTGGATACCTCCGAGTCCGGTTTTACGGGAATACAATCGGTAATTTATATTGATGAAACATATTATTGGGGAAATTACTTTGACCTATCAAGTTGTTAGTCATATTTAATATTACTAATACTATATATGTATGTAAAGACTATTTAAGTCTTTAATACTCGTTGTTAAGTAGACTAAGGAATAGCTACATCAAACAAATTGAGAACAAAATGGGAGTCGTGTCATATCAAGAATTGAAGAGCATGATGGAAGATCGCGGAAAGTGGCAAGAGCTCCACCGACAAGAGCGTAGCTCTTAAATTATGAATGAATGAATGAAAAGTAGAGCGGAGAATAAAACACAATTCTCTAAATTAATCTATACATGTAAATAAAATTGGAGCGTCTGTTTGTAATATTGAAATAACCGTTTTTTCATACATGCATATGAATATAAATACGGTAGATACACCAAAATAATATTTTTTACAATTTCTGTCTGTCTGTCTGTTTGTTCCGGCTAATCTCTGAAATGGCTGGATCGATATTGACGGGACTTTTTTTGACAGGTAGCTGATGTAATAAGGAGTAACTTAGACATGTTTACAAAATTTAAATGTTATTTTATTTCTATTTAATTAACAGCCTAAAAAATATGTATCAAGATTTAAAAAAGACGATATTTCCATACATTCTTACATATCTTTTTTGCATTAAAAAGCAGTATATGTCCTTTCTCAGGATGTATGTATGATGTATGATATATATATATTTTCGCATTTATAACATTAGTAAGGATATGTAGTAATAATTTAGAATATTAGGTAATATTCTTATTAGACACTGGACAAATACATATATATAGGATTTTAAACTTGACTTGCATGAATGAATGGGAATGAATGAGTATGAATGAATGGAAACGGAGGAGTGAACGGATGATGAAAGGAATGATTGAGAAAAGGGGATCATCCTGTTATTTGCGAATCCACATTCCCACATATATATAGTACTATCACATACCATCGATGACGTCATCGCCAAATTCAATTAAGACGAGAACGGAAAAGTAAAATTAAATAATAGCCGCACAGGATGATTTCCCGGGCCCAAACAAAAATAAATGAAATTAAGAGCGCCGCGTAACAAACTCTTTCGGCAAATTCAATTTTCCCATTGAAAGGAAACGTTCTATAAATATCTTAATTCTTGTACAATCGAATTGTAGAAGAATTAAGAAAATTGTAATTGGAAAAATTTATAGGTAATAGGAAATGAAAAAAAACTCATCTTATGCAGATACAAGTCAGTCAGAAGCGCAATGAACACACATCAACTGGTGTTACTGGTGTTATTTTTTTTATAAACTATATATTTTTTATATCTATTTTTTATACTTGTATTCACACACTTACATAAACTTAAATTGTAAGTAAAAATAAATTATTTAAAAGAGCAACACACAAGTTTCTTGCTTGTTCTTCTTGTGATGAGACAGCATTCCGAATGAGCGGTAGATTAAAAAAAAATGTTATGACTATTCAAAAGTGCTTCAATGTAAGTTTATTTGAATAAATGATTTTCTATTCTATATTTCATTCTATTCTATTCTATACGTCACTTTTGACTAATTATATATTGTTTTGTTACTTGTTGCTGTGAGCCCTTTTGGGAAGAATACACATTTTTACTAGTATTTGGTTTTTATTAAAATAGTAGTTGTGTTCCCGCTCCAGTAACAACTGGGTTCTTGAGTTATATTTATGTATGTATTTAGACTATGCTCGTACCGTACAAGGTTACCGTTTTTTTTTTTTAATTTATGTTATATCTACCATAAAAGTATTATGTGTTTTTCCTAACAAATTACTGATTTATACAATAAAAAAGGCAGTCCAGATACCTCTTCAATACACATTTTTATGATAGTTTAATAGTAATTTTGTTAATACACATAAACATGTGCAGATTAATAATAGCCGAGGACAATTGCATAGCG